CTAGGGAGCATAATGCAAGTGCCAATTTTTCTGACAATGTTCAACAGGGAGATACCTCTATAGTTGTCACAGTTGCTTCTATCCACTTTGTTTTTGTATAATTGTACAAACCAAGCATCATTGAAATCTTGTGGTACTGCTTCCTCTTTCCAGCAGAGCAGTATGACTTCATGAAGCTTTCAAAGTAATTAATTGTTGGCACATCTGTAGATTTCAGCAGGCAAGCAGTCAGTGCTGGATGCCTTATTCCCAGGAATTAATTTAATGGCTTTCTGCAAATCTTCTAATGTAGGCTCATTGTCTAAATCTATCATAACTTTGAACTGTTGTAATCCTTCAAGCTCTTCATGTTTGGTTTTAGTGTTACTGGAGCATAGGATTCCATAGTTTTCAATCCAATGCTCAAGTTGTTTTTGTTTATCAGTAATGATATTTCCTTTAAGTCTTTCAAGGAATTGTTTTCTTCTTGACTGGACCAATTGCTCGTGTGATGCCTTCATACATTCCACTGCTATTACCTGCATTGGCTGCTTTCTGCATATCATCACAGAATTTCAGGCAAAAATCTTGGGCACACCTCTTAGCCTCCTTTTATTTTTCTCTTCAAGCCTTTCTCAGATTTTCTAGGGTATGGTATTGGGAAATTTATGGTTAGGGTTATGGTGTTGGGAGATTATTGGCTACTGCTGTCCTTTTGTTCTCAACAAGTGGTAGAAGGCTTTCAGACAGTTCTTCAAACCAATCTGTATTTTTTCTTGCATTTTTTGCCAAATGCTGTCACAGCAGCATTATACATGTTAGTTTTTAAGCTTTCCCAAGCCTTGGTAGCTCAGCTGTTAGGTAAACTTGCTTTTGCAACTTCTTCATTGAATAGTCTGCATTTTTCTATCTTTAGTTTGGCTGATGTCTATCTGAGGATGAATGGTAATTTTGCTATGCTGGATCTGTTTGACATTCATTCTGACTTTGCAGCAGGCTATGGAATGGTCAGTGTCACAGTCAACACTGTGATAAATCCTTGTACACAGGATTTGTCAGATGGTTAAGTTTGGTCAGTACTAGATCTAATTGGTTCCAACACCCTGATCTTGCATGTTTCCACAATGTCTGTCTTGTAGTGATTTTCCCAAAGAAGTAGGTGTTGGTAATACATCGGGCATCTTTACACATGCTGCGTGCGGGGGGCGGCTGGGGCACTTTAATTAGAGCAGCTCTCAGGAGCTGTTCTAATTAAAGCACCTGCAGTGTCTTGTGTATTCAGCATCCCGCACTTCAAAATGGTAGTTGGGGCAGTTTAACTAAAGCTCAATTGACAAGCTTTAGCTAAAGCACCCCCACTGCCATTTTGAAGCACAGGGAATACTTGTAACACCAAGGTTGCTGGAGCGTGCTAATTAGCATGTCAGAGCAGGCATTGGGCACATGTGTAGATGCCAATAGATTTTGACTTGCACAAATTTCTAACACTCACTGGCCATTTTCAATCGTATTACCAATTCTACGTTTGCCTAGAGTACCAGGCCTATTCTCAAAATTACATTGAAGTTGCCAAATATTATAACTGTCTCATTTCTGTGAGTTTCCTCAATCTCTTCTTCAAGTTGTTGATAGAAAACATTTATGTCTTCATTCCTAGCTTGAAGGGTAGGCGCATAGACACTAAACAACATGATGAAACCATTTGGTGTGTGTACTCTGAATGTCATGAGTCAAACAAATATAGCAATGGGGCTTTCACAGAAAGATAGTAAGCTGTTTCTAATAGCAAAACCTACTCCCTGATCTCTCTTTTCTCCTGCTGTTATCCCATACCAGAATATGGTATAATCATTGTCTTGGACAGAATCTGTATCTGAGAGCTGAGTTTCTGATAATGCAGTAATGACAATTCCCAGTCTAACCGATTCATAGTTTATTAGTGCCGTTTTCTGGAAGTTTGAGTCCAAATTGAACCTACGGGTCAAAGTCTGAGCATTCCAGCATGTGAGACACTTTACTTTATCTTTTTGGCCAGTATAGATCACACCAAGACCTTTAGTGCATACCCCTAGGCAAAAGTATGGAGGAGTGGAGGCTGCCCTAGACCTACCAATCCCCTCTTTAGACCATTGAAACAGTCCGAAAGCCAGACCAAGTCCAGACATTCAGTAGTTTCTGCCAGAGAGCAACAGATTAAAGCTGTTGCTGACTGCCTAACACCTCAGTTAGGGTGTGTTTCTGTCAGGGTGATGTCTCTTAGCCTTTTTTATAACCAAGGAGTACCCACAAGGTAGAGGAGGCTAGGGTTTTGAGGCACTCTAAATTTGCCTTACTCTGAGGGTTGCAAAATTGTGGTATTTTATAGGAGTACCTCACTATGAGTAGCCCCACCACAAGCCCCCCACATACAAGCCCTCCAGTCAGATGTAGTTTACAGCCATTCCCAGGACCAGTCACACACACATGCTAACTGGCTAACTGGATCTTTGGCATTTACACACACACACACACACACACACACACACACACACACAAACTGGATCTTTGGCAGTTACACATACATATATACACACATACTAACCAGATCTTTGGCAGTTATACACACATATATGCCATCTTGGAGGTGTGCACTGAAGACATGCTGGTCACTCACCTAGCAACAGCCATCTTGTTAAATGTGTACTTAACAGCCTAAGTCCAATGCACATTTCAAGTGAAGTCAGAGAACAGAAAGAAAGGGAAATCTAAATATTCTGAGGTTGGCAGAAAAATCCAGCCGCATCTCCTCAATATTCCCTTGTGCGTGTGTGGAATGAATACTTATCAGATCGAAGTTTAAGCCCTAGGGATACAGTCTTTTCAATCCCCCTTCATTCACCCTTTTACTTCCTTCCCTCCTTACTTCTGTCTGCCCTTTCATTTTCTTCCTTCCCACAGACTTTCTAGTTTTTGGTATGCCTTCCATATTACCATTAGTTATCATCGCATCATTCCACTTATACTCTTTCTTTCATTTCCTTTCCTCCCCACTCTACCTGCCTTCTCCCTCACTTTCACTCCTTCTAGAGAAGGAGGAGAGAAAAGATAGAGAAAGGAAAAGGGAACTATGGAGCAGCTTCCTTCACTGCTGCCTAGTCTTATAGGTCAATGTAGACTCCATAGGCAGGAGTGTGAAAAGTGAACACAAGAGAAAGGTGGGTGTTTTCCTGTGGGAAGGGATTTAAGGGCAGATTAGGAAGAATGAGTATGATGGAGGTTGGGGCATATAAAGATGTCAGCTGTTCCAAATTTAAAATGGAAAAATAAGTGCTATGAAGCACATTACAGTTTTGAGGACCTTCTTTTCACTGTGAAACATTTAACAACTCTTTAGAATGAGCATAAAACCAATTTAATAAGGAAATATAGTGTTATTTGAACAAATTTCACATTGCCTGTTTTTCCCCCTATTTGAGCAGCCTGTGGAGTATTCTGGCATATAGCATAATAATTATGATTCTTCCATTCCAGTACTTGAAAGGAGAACAGAAATATTGTAGAAAGTATATCAGAAGTGCATTCTGGGCAGAAAGGGGAAGCGTAAGAAAAAGTATCTGGTTTAGAACTGACAGATCTATCTTAAAGCAATAGCATATAAATCCCTTACATTTTTAAACTCTCTGTGGTGCAGGAGATGAACTAAAATCCTGGGAAGTCTTACTGAGAGCATCATAAGCTACTCCCTACAGCAGTTTATTTCAGGGAACTATGATGCTGTCATTTATACATTTCTATTGCTTGAAGATTTTTTTTCTTGTTGCAATCTGAAAATATTTTCAGATTTGATCACAAGTCAAATAAAGCGAGACAAAAAAAACCTTGGTCTGATTATATACAACTGCTTCTGCCTGCCCAGTGAGTTACGTATTTTTCATGTGTAGTGGCAACTGTGCTAACTGAACCTCCTTCATCTTAGGACAAAATGCATTTTCAGAAGGTCAGCTTCTGCCATGAACATCTTTACAATTTCAACATCTGTGAATAATGCACATTTCACTTGAAATTATTTGTTGAGAACTATTGCTCTCTGCTTTTGTTCCTTTCCAATATCCAGTCTCATAGAGAAAGCAGGGTTTGTTTTTTTTAACCTAATTTTACTTTATTTATAAACTTTGCTTTGTTTGCTGTGTATTACTCAGCTTCTGCTAGTGCAGCAGCAGGAGGCAGCAGTGGATTTTTCCATAACATAGTCTTGAGGACAGAGACTTGTCCTTACTACAGGCTTGTGCAGCACCTACCCGAGTAAGGCTGTGATTTCTTTAGACGCACCAAAGTGCTACCATGCTATAAAAAAAATTAAAGTTATTACTTTGCTGCAAAGAAACTTTCCCTAAAGAAAAGAAAACATGTTCTTAATCTTTTCTGCTGGAACTAGGAACACACCTGCAGTTGCCTTTTGAATGAATATAAAAGTTTAAAGCAGAACCCTATCTATACCAAGGGGTGAATCTCGATTGTTTTTTTTCCACACAAGACTGACATCATTGGCACTTGTGCATGTTACAGGGTTTAATCCTCATTAAATTAAATAGGTTTGTTAAATTTAAAATGGTTTATTTTAGAATGTTGCATCAATGTTTGCATGTAATAGCTTTTACACCGAATTAAGCCCGGTGTGCAATTCCCAGTAAATTCCAGCAGGGGGAGCCACATACCAATCCATTCTGCTGATGTCTTAACTACTTGATTACAGCAGGGGCTTCATCAGTAATCCCTGGACCACAGGAGTAAGTGCTGGACCCCTGGGGGGGAAGTGCCTGTCAGCCTGCTGCAGGGGACCCGCTAAGCATGCTGTACCCCTGCTCTATACCCACCCATTCCTACAGTCATTGCCCCAGCCATTTCTCCACACACCTCTACTGCACCCTCAGACCACATATCCTCATTCTCTGCACTATGCAGCCCCCCTCCACTGCACCCTCAGACCATGCATCCCCCATCCCTGCACCATGCATCCCCCCTCCATCCCTCCATGTGCCTTGCCTTATGCACATGCCCCACAGCTTCCCGCACCAGGCCATATAGGCGCTCTGCATCTTGCATCCCTCCCAGCCCCAACGCAGTATTCACAAGTCTCATTGCCATGAGGATTCCATGTGTATCTATTCTATCTATCTTTATACTCGATTCTATATACTTTTCTATCTCTATTGTAATCTATTTTTATTCTTTGACTATATGTCTATTTCCTGTTCTCTATTTGATTCTCTAATCTTCTGTCTTCATTAATCTGCCTATCTTCTATTTTGTAATGCCTTTATTCTTCATTTTGTCCTTCTATTTCTGCTCTTCTAAGAGTCCTGCAAGGGAAAAAAGAAGATGGGTTTTGGCCTATACTCCCCAAACCACCTTCTTTTTTGGCTTTCCCTTACAGGCTACAAAATCTCCCATGGGAGATTTCTGTCATTACCTAAATATAACCCGGGATGCTGTGTAGCCTATGGGGCAGATCTGGCAGCCAGCATCCAACATGCAAGGAGTTTCTGGAAGGCAATAATGAGAAAGATACCCCAAAATATTAATATGTCTCAAAAGGTGCCACACCCCCTCAATTACAAATCTCCCATTTGCTGCTGCTGCTGTGCCACCTTTCCTTATTTGGCAGATGTTGTAGCTGGGTGAGGCGTGCAGAAGAGGTGGCGGGGGGACCATGTAAATAATGTTTGGTGGTGTATGAACCACCAGTACCATGGAATAGGTCCATACAACTGGTATTAGGTGGGGGCAAGATCAGGCTTTCATTAATGGACTACATTTCCCAGCAGCCCCAGCACATACTGCTTGGGCCAGTTTCCATGGAGCCCCAGCAGCAGCTACATTGTGATTTGATAGCACAGCCCCGGGGTTTCTGTGGATACTGGCCCAGATGCACATGGCTATGTGCAATTTTGGGGTGGCTATAGCCCTTCCCCCACTTAGTGCTAGTCCTGCTCGTAGCATGTGTGGCGTGGCGCAGAGTTGCACTATAGCCTGTTTGGATTCTTGTGGTGGTAACAGCATGGTCCATCACTGGAGCAGAAGCAGAGCACCTGCCATGGCCCAGGCTATGCTGTCACCACCATGGAATGCCAGGGTGTCTGCACCCATTTTTGGTCCCTGCCACCTGTGGGTGTGGGGGTGGGTGGCTTGAACTGCTGGATGTACACAGGGTACACAGCACTTATGGGCTGCCATGTAGTGCATGCATGGCTCAGCTTGGCCCAGCCCCCATGCCAAACCTCTTATAAAAAAAATTCCACATCAGGAATGAATGTTATACATTTTAAAAATGTGTTGCACATTATAAAAATATAAAAGGATAACAAAAAAATGTTTTTTAGATATATAGGGAGTAAAAGGAAGGCCCAGGGTGGAATAGGACCTCTACTAAATGGGAATAAGCAATTGGTGACAGACAGGGGGGACAAGGCTGAATTCCTCAATGAGTTCTTTGCCTCAGTGTTCCTAAGCGAGGGGCGAGACAGGTCTCTCACTGAGATTGTAGAGAGGCAGCAGTAGGGTGCCAGACTACCAAGCATAGACCCTGAGATGGTGCAGAGGCACTTGGAGGAACTGGATGCATTTAAGTCGGCAGGCCCGGATGAGCTCCATCCAAAGGTACTGAAGGCACTAGCTGACGTCATTGCACAGCCACTGGCGGGAATATTTGAACACTCATGGCACACAGGCCAGGTCCCAGAGGACTGGAAAAGGGCCAATGTGGTCCCTATTTTCAAGAAGGGGAGGAAGGAGGACACAGGCAACTATAGGCCAGTCAGTCTCACCTCCACCCTTGGCAAAGTCTTTGAAAAAATTATCCAGGCTTACATTTGCGAAAGCCCGGCAGGAAAAATTATGCTGAGGGGAAACCAGCACGGATTCATAGCAGGTAGGTCATGCCTGACTAATCTAGTCTCTTTTTATGACCAGGCTACAAAATACCTGGATTCAGGAGTAGGGGTTGACTTCGTTTACTTAGACTTCAGGAAGGCCTGCGATACAGTATCCCACCCCATACTGGTGAACAAGTTAAGAGGCTGTGACTTGGATGACT